GGGTTTTCCCACATTCCATCTTCTGCAACAACAGCATTCGACCATGTAACCCTCTTCTTCCGCGCGGAGTTTTGTTCGAGAAATCCGTAAAGACTTGAAGGCCCTTGCACTAGATGTCTTCCAGGGAAAGACAAGAATACATTGTAAATTACAGTATTTTCTACACTTCCATCAAGTGATCTACCTACATATCCCATTTTGCTCCGGAGAACCTCAGCCGGAGAGCGTTAGGGTTTAGGGCTTAGGGTTTCGGGTTTAGGGCTTAGGGTTTAGGGTTGAAGGTATATGGGTAGGCAGGTAGCTCACGAAACGCTGGCGATGTCAGGAATAGTAGCAAAAAGAGGCTGTAGGATATCAGCTGGTTATAGTTTGGGTTTGCCTATCTAGGTCATCAGCAATTCTATGTTCATAACATACCGTTGAACCAAATAACATTTTCTCGTTCGCCCCAGCGTATTACAACCAAAGCATGCATGTTGTATTATTCTACAATAGAAACTATGCCGTTCCCCACTTGAAGGGTCAGCGGCACTTGCTAAATAGGTGAATAAGGGGGATAACTGGGGCTATTAGGATAGGGGCTCTGGGTATACCTTACTAAGTCCCCCTGACCCTTGCGCAATTAAAGTACTACTCATCAGACTACCGTTTGAATAGTTTGAAGACCCCATCTAGGTCTATATGGCTCCCAAACAATTGCTCCTATGCGGAGCACTAGATCCTGAACCCTAAAATCCTGAAACCTGAACCCATCCTAAACATTATCACAGGAAGCTCCAGGCAAAACCTCATCTACTTGAATAAGCTATCTGCCCCGTCTGTGTTGGGGGGTTGGGGTTTAAGAGTTGGGGCTTAAAGGGTTCAGGGCTTAAGGTTCACAATAACCAAAACAACTAACAGCCAAAAAACGTTTGATTTCTTGGCCAATGTAGTTAGGTGCTGGACATCCATATTCAGGTATAGCTGCATCTTGCGTATACAAACACATGCAAGGATATACTACAGGGGCCTAAATAAGTACCAATATCATGTTGAGGTCCATTTGAGGTAGCATATACACGAGGAATATGGAACCATCATATTGGCAATTATTTAGGCTCCTATATTGCTGTCTGTGCTCGCTGTGCTTGTGCACACCAGCTGCGACGCGTGCAGCACATACTTTATTTCCTGGTGCTTAGGAGGGAATGGGGGAATGGATCCCTGTAGTAGTCCCTATATAATCCCTAAACCCTAAGCCCCATGTAATCCCAAATATAATCCCTATAGCCCCTCACCCCATTCCCTCCTAAGCACCAGGGAGCTTAGCTGTCCTGAGTGGGAAATGCAGGGATTGGCTGAGCAAACTTCAGGACTTGGGGGTGTACCGATTTGGGCTCGCAATTGTAAACCCCAAACCCTAAGCCCTAAACCCTAAACCCTAAAACACCTAAACCCTGAAGCCAAAACCCCTGAACCCCTAAAACCCTAAACCCTGCACCTCAAACCCGGAACCCCGAAACCAAAACCCTACTCAGCTGATTTCTTATTGCATAGCTTGGGCAGCCCACCAAGAGTCGTTGGCTGCTGCGGATCTGACGAGACCTGGGAGTTTTCTCTGTGGTTTTGGGTGGGTTCGGAATGTTTTTCTTTTGAATGGGACTATGCATGAAAAGACCTAACTGTAACCCGGTAGTGTCCTAGACTCCCTTGAATTTTTCGGAAACCAAAGACCTTGAAAACACTCTACAAGTAGGAATCCGTCGTAAACCTTCAACCCTAGACCCTGAATTCCACCGCCGAACCTCAATCCGTCCGGGCCCCTGACGTCCACTGCAGCCTGCTCTAGCAGGACTGCGCGACGTTGTACATGGGGCCTGGTCTTGCTGCAGGGTTTAAGCTTTCAGGCTTAGGGTTTAGGGATTTAGGGTTTAGGAATGTAGTGCTTGGGTTCTAGGGTTGAGGGATTTGGGGTTTAGAGTCTAAGGTTCCGGGGTTTTGAGCTTTGGGGTATAGGTTTTGGGCTCGTAGTCTTCTTTGAACTCTATCATTTGGGGTCTTTTGAAAAGAGGAATGCTTCATATAGGGGTGCCAAATGGGATGGTAGTCCCTGTAAAGGAACCTATCAAAACTTCATGGCATGTTAACATATGAGCTATGGTCTATGTTCCTAGTATCCCCCTTAATAAGCTCTATAGTAGTCTCTTATATAAGCCCTCAACCCCCTTTTAAGGATTTTAGACTATGGCTCAGATCATCTCATCATATTTAAGGTTTACGGCCTAGGGTTTCGTGGGGATTGCGTAGACTGGACGGTAGTCCAAGATTAGAACTGCTTTCAACATATGTACTCTCAATAAAACAGCACTTGTTGTACCGTACCCGGTGCCCTAAACCCTAATCCCTGAACCCTAAACCCTAACCCCGAAACCCACAGCTACCCAGTAGAGCTACCAGGTGGTTATCGTTACGTCGTGCTTTAAAAAGGAGCGTGGGAAGTATGGAAAGGCTACGTAAGGCTCATATGGGGAAACTGCCCACCTGAGAACTACATATAACAGAGAACCCTAGACAGCATGCCAAAGTTAAAAGGGTGATCGGGCTTTATTTTAGCATACTACAGAATCGGATGGAATGTGCAAAAGCAAAACGGAAACTTGGGGAGTTTTTAAACTCGTTAACCGCAACCCAACATGGGGGAGCAGAAAGTAAAACACACGCTCACGATTCAGTACACTACAAGACGATAGGACCTCTACGGTAATGCGAGTAGACATCCTTCTTCATCTTTAGAAACCGACAAGATAGTCATATCGCATAGACTATGACTCATATGGGCCCCAAACCTTAAACCCTGAATCCTAAGCTAGGGTAGATTGGGGGGCCAGTAAAAATTCCTGTTCAATGACTTTTGAGGGATTACCTAAGTGTCAAAGGCAATAAAGATTAAACATAATTCTCAAACCAACCACTGCAAACCCAAAAACGTGCGGCACCTTTTGATTGCATCAACGCTGTCTGCGTATGTGCATGAGCCGATGGGGCGTACGCCCTGCGCCTGTCACACACATGTTCTAACCTCGGTTAGCAAGGCATGAAGAAACAGTCCCTATGTGATCCTCAGTCATGCCTTGCCTTTCATTCTTTTCCATTCCTTCATTCCCTACCAGCCATAAGGAGTCTCTTGAAGCAGGGAAACAGTGTCTCTGCATCCTGCGCAATCTCCACTCAAGCAAAATCTCCTATTCCAGCATTGCGGTAGCACTCCTGGCACGTGTCATGAGAAACATTGTACAGAACAAGATTTTTGTGAAACACCTCCAGCGCGGCTTCATATACAATCTCATCAATATCGTCATGCCAGCCCATTAGCACGGACGTGTTGTACCCGCTGTGCGCGGACTTCCCTGGAGAAGACGGGCGCGTATCCTCAAAGTCTGAGCCCAAGCATGGGCCGCCAAGCATTCTGTGGAACAAGCAGATAGACAAGTCCCATTCTTCCGTGATGCCCACGAAGGCGAAGCCCTCCCGAACTCTTCGGGCTGCCTCTAAGCCATCCGCGGGCGTCACTTTGGTGCGGTTTGGGGTAACTGTGGGAATTCCGTGGTCATCCTCTGTCACCAGCTGATATGTCATGCCTCCTTTCCACCCCTCTGCAAATTCCAGCAAAGGTACCTTCGGCAATCCGACAATAAGATATCTGAGATCTTTATTGCAATAGCCAGTGGCAACTATCAAGTCCGCGACACCTGGAGGATGCTCAAAGTGAGGGGCTTCTAGGAATGCTAGTGGTATGTAAGGACTATTGGCAGATTGCAAGGGCTTTTTCTATTCAGATTACACTGGGGCTATGTTGAGATATTCCCACCTATCATCCACGGGGCAGTGAGCTGGGACAAAACCGATGCGAACGGCTCAGTCTCGTCGTAGTAACCCGACAATATCCGTTGATCAGGATCTCGGAAGAATCCTGAGTTGTACTTTAAGGTTTTGGGCGTAATGTCCAAAACATCTTGGAAAAGGCCGCGATATCATGGAGTGAAATTCCAGGCTTCCTACACTCTCTAAACCCAACCTCAGCCCGGAGACCCACCATGTGACCTCGCCGCTCTGAGTAGTTGAGAATCGGGCGATGCGGAATTTTGTCGCAAGCAAGCCTGAGCTGTCTCTGAGATGGTAGTCACAACGAGAACTTGATACTCAATCTTCTTTATCAACGATCGAGAACATAGAACTAACGATCATCACAGACAACCAACACCACCATCATTACCATCAACATTATCATCATCATCCTCATCATCACCACAACCACCACCACCACGACGACAACGACGACAACCGACCACGACCACGACCACCACCACCACCACCACCACCACCACCACCACCACCACCACCACAATCACCACCACCACCACCACCACCACCACCACCACCACCAAGAAGTATCACGGCCCCACGAATACCACGTCCACAACCACGACCACAACAATGACAGCTCCGCCGTCAAGAGCACCAGGAGGAGCAGCAGCAGCAGCAGCAGCGGTGGCAGCCAATGCAGTCGCCGTCGCCCATGTCGTCATAGTGTTCGTCACCAACATTCTCATCGTAACTGTCAGTGTGGTCACCACGCAAATGTAAATCCTGAACAGCATCATCAGCATCCTGACCGTCATCAGAAAACAGTAATCATCAGTACGATGTTGTTATGCTACTTATTACTCTTCCTTTGTTCTTGTGATTCTTCTTCATGATCTTCATCGTCTTCACCGGCATTGTCATCGTCAGCAACCGCGTAGGCATTAGCGTCATCCTGGTCATCCTCACCATCATTGCCATTCCCATCCTCATCGCCAGCGTCGGCCTCCTTAGCGGAGAAAAAGATCATTATCATCGTCGTCGTCAGCATCAACAAGGCCGTCCTCATCCTCACCATCAACAACAATCTCATCATGATCATCATCATCATCATCATCATCGTCATCATCGTTATCATCGTCCTGACCACCGCATTGTTATTGCTGCTAAGAATAGCACCAGCATCAGAACAATCCTAAGCGCCATAAGCATCGGTTTCCTCAGCATCATCATCTTCATCATATCACCATCATGACTGCCAAAATCATCACCTTGTCACCATAATCATCAACAGCACCATCATCCAAATAATCTCCCGCAATCGCTGGGATGGTCCAAAGAGCATGCGAATACGAAAGCATGCAGGGATTCACATCACAGGAGCTTCGTCGACTTAGGTACAGCTTACAGTATGTGAAATGGAGAGAAGGAAGACAAATGTAAGAATGATATAGGGATTGCATAGGCTTTGTACTGCCAGGACTGATACCCACACGCTGTGGCCCACGGAGTTCTCGAACTGGATAAGGGGTTTCAGATTTCACGGTTTCGGGTTCTGGGTTTTTATGGTTGTGCAGCTTGTGGGCTTCCCTATATAACCCCAATATAACCCCTACATAATATAGTAGCTTCCATTTTCTTTTCCATTATCCCCAATATAACTCCTATATAACAGGTTTTGCAGTTTGGCATTGGGTAGTTTCCCAAAATAAGGGGACCCCAATATAGACCCCAAACTGCTACAATCCATATTATGGGGAACTCCCGCAAAGGTAGCCCTAATTTTGGGAAACCCTAAATTAGTACTTGCGCCCTAAAGGGTTTAGGGTCAGGAGGACTTAGTAAGTAGCTTAGCCCTAAACCCTAAACCCTAAACCCTTAACCCCTACAAACCCATATAATAACCCTAGTTATCCCCATTGTTAACCTACTTACCCTAGATCCGAAGCGAAGCACCTTGAGGCCTGACGATTGCCTTTTTGGTTATTTAGGGTTTAGGGTTTAGAGTTTAGGGTGCGAAAAAAAAATCTTACTGACATAGTTCGGCTTATGGTTTAAGGTTTTGAGAGCACCTCCCAACTCCCAGGTGTAGGGCTTAGGGTTTAAGGTTTAGGGTCCCCCTTGGGGTTTGGGGGTTTAGGGGTTTAGGGTTTAGGGTTTAGGGTCTAGGGTTTAAGGTTTAGGGTTTTAGGGTTTTAGGGTTTAGGGTTTAGGGTTCTAGGATTATAGTCCCCCTTAGGTAAATAGAATATGGCTTTGGGTATATTATAATAAGATCACTAACACTCGGAGGATCTGTGGGACGATCTCCTGCAAGCCAGAAGAATCACCATCAAGACCCAGCAATCACCTTTCTCAACCTATGTCCCCGTCAAGTGGATAGAATAAAAAGGTTTGCGGGGATCTTATTCTGGTTTTGGGGAATCTGATATTCTATCTACTCAAAGGGGACTAATTATACTAACCCTACTTGAACCCTAAACCTGAAACTGGACCCCTGCAAGAAAGAAGCTTATCTGCATCGCACCAGTTCTGGCAGTTCTGAGACCAGGTCATCAGCATGCAAATGCCTGGGTTGCTGTTAAGGAACTTAAATTAAGTTACCATTTGATGGGTGTATATATATATATAGAGTAATTAATGAAGTTTCCCCAATATAGTAACCACATTAAGTTCCTTAACAGCAACCCAGTCGCCCAGGGAAGTCCAGTTGAGAGTCATGTTGGACAGAGGAGGACAAAAGCCTCTCCGAGGCTCTGGGGGGCGGCTTGCATATGTTTATTTAACGTTGTATAGGTTTATATAAGTTTATATAGGCTCATATAGGTTTATATAGGTTCATATAGGTTTATAAAGGTCTATATAGGTTCATATAGGTTTAAATAGGCTTATATAGGATTATATAGGGTTATATGGGGGTTATATATGGATACTGGAGAAGAAAATGAAAACTACTAATTAGGGTTTAGGGTCAAGGGTTCAGGGCTTTGGGGTTTAGGGCAGGGCCCGGTCCCCTTAAAATAGTTTGTGTGGGGATGTATAAGTAAACATGGACATATAGTGATCGGTTAGAATAGTGTAGACCCCAGTCGACAAGAAAAAGAAAATGGAAGCTGGGATAGATAGAGGTTGTATAGGGGTTGGAATGTAAAGGCATACAGAAACAGAACGGGCTTGGAGTTATACTACAGTTGTGTGCAAGACCACAGGGGAATGTGATACTTTTGGGCTTTATGGCTTCATGCGCAAGGTTTGCTTTTGCTGGGCTGCTGTTAAGGAACTTAAATCAAGTTACCCCAATATGGGTATACAGTAAACAATGGGGTTTCCTTGTTATAGCAATTTTAAAAACTTCTGAACCCTAAAAACCCTGAATACGCTAAACCCCAAAAAACAAAAGTGTATAGCGTGGCCAGAGCAGGAGGGTAGACTGTCCCGCTTGGAACAAGGCCTGCGCCCTGATGTCACATCTGGTTCATGTGAGCTATAGTCTAAACTCCTAGTATCCCCCTTAATAACCCCTATAGTAGTCCCCTATATAATCCCCTATATAACCCCGCTTAAGGAGTTTAGACTATAGTTCATGTAGTGTGGGTCGGTATGGGCGACGTACTCGTGGGCTTGCTTTAGGATTTCTGCTCAGGCTTTAGGGTAGCAAGCACGTACTGCCGCACGGTTTAGCCTTTAGGGGTGAGCAGGCTGTGTTCGCCGAGACTGATCCAGCCTGAGGTGGTTTGGAACCCTCTAAAACCTCATCTACTCGCCCCCCCCGCTGACGCCCAGCCCCAGCGTCCAGAATGAAATTCCAGGACTTCCCACGGCTTGAGGGCTTGGGAGTAGCGGGGACTAGGGAGCGGTGAACATTTTTTTGGGCTTGTCCAGCTCCCCTCTGCCCTCCCCCCCCAGTACTCCATCCTCCCCACACCTTAGCACCATGTCCTTCCCCCATTTAGGACATATGTATAAACTTCCAGCGATATCGCTCCACGGATGCGGATATCCTCATAGAGGTTAACCTTAGAGGTTTAGGGTTTAGGGGGATGTTAAGGGCTTATGGTTACGTAACCCCCCCCCCGCCCCCCATATGACTGAGCTTCGCTTTCTTTGCAACCCAACAAATAACGGAGGCGGATGCGCGATAGCGTTTGCAATTATCTAGGTTGCTGTTAAGGAACTTAAATTAAGTTACCATAATGGGTATATATAGTAAATAATAGGGTTTCCCCAATATAGTAACTTAATTTAAATTCCTTAACAGCGACCCAGTCATTTAGGGATGTATAGGTCTGATATTAATGGAAACCCTAAACCCTAACCCTAAACCCTAACCCTAAACCCTAAACCCTAAACCCTAGACCCTAAACCCTAGGGTTTAGGGTCACAGAAATATCGTTGCGGCTTGCAGTGCCTGCAACCTCGATTATCCAGGATTCTGGATCCTAACTAAGGGTTTCCCAAAATTATGGCTACCATTTTGGGGTCCCCATAATAAGAACTATAGTATTTGGGGGTCTATATTGGGGATCCTCCTTATTTAGGGAAACTACCAACTAGCCCTTGAGCCCTGAACTGGGTTTAGGGCTAGATGGCACAGTGGACGTACTTTTTTTGTAATTTTGCGCTCCACTGACTGCATGCTTTGTGTTTGCTGCGTATGAAGAGGGGGAAGAGGAGAGGGCTCTGCTCCTACGAAACGTTTGGTTGTCATGCGTACAGCAGCGCGTACAGAGACAGGGTGGCGTGAGAGATTTTGAATGATGTTCTCCAGGGAGCATGCGCACCTGCCCAGACCGATCGGGGCGTCGTGGTTTTCACGTGCTATGTGAACAGTAGTTGCGCGAATTGATTGGCTTTGTAGATGCATTACTGTTTTCCTTGCACCCGCAGCATATGAACCATGCGCTAAACATAGGATGTACCTTCGCTAGTTGATGACCTTCGCTAGTTTATGCTGGAAGCTCCGTCTGTATCATGGCAGCACAAACTGCTGCAGAAGCTGGAAAGTCCGCTGGGTCCTGTTGGTTTATATATATGTATATTAAGACCAGTTCCTGTACGGGGGAAAGACTGCAGGTAAACGCTACCTCACCAACAAACAAAAAAAAGAATTATTCAGGTCCCGCTGCGTAGCTGTTGCGATGCCCTAGGGGCTTTAGGAGGGACCCTTCATGGGGACTCGTGCCGCTCGGTGGGGGGCAAGATGAAGACTACCAAATAATATGAGGCTTGAAGGCTATATATAGAGAGTGAGAGAGAGAAGGATTCTATATCAAACGGCATTAGGTCCAAGTACTCATACAGCCTAAACCCTGAACCCTCAAGAAGACCCTAAACCCTAAACCAGGAGTCCCTCCAGAGAATACTCGATTTGCTCCTTTCCTTTCGGGATCCTGAAGTCAGCTAGGTCTAGGCGGTCTCGGGTTTTCGGTTTAGGGTTTAGGGCTTAGGCTCTAAACACAAAACGGTGTACATATTCGATTCCGGATTGAGTTTAGGTTTCTGGGCTTTTAGGGAATTCGTGTGATGTCGAAGCCTAACTATTTGCCGAGATTTGTTCGAGGACTGCTTGAGGTACCATGTACCATGAGTGCCCTATACCCTGAACCCTAAACCCCTAAACCCCTAAACCCTAAACCCTAAAACCCTAAACCCTGAACCCCTAAACCCTAAACCTTAAAACCCTAAACCCCAATATTGGTAAGCATCTCCCTGAGCTTATTTTTGCTTTGTGAGTTCCATTTGATCATCTGTTTATGGTGCCATCAACCCCTATGAGCTATAGTCTTAACTGCTGAAAGGAGGATTTATAGGAGATTATCCAGAGTTTAGGGTTTAGGGTTTAGAGTCTAAACTCTTTAAAGCGGGCTTTATAGAGGATCATATGGGGGAGTATTGTAAGGGGTCATGAAGAGGGATACTAGCTTAGGCTATGGATCATATAGCATATAACCCCTAAACCTTCTAGAGTAACAAGACCCAAGCCTAAACCCAAAACCCCAAAATCTAGAAACGGCTACGACGTGTAACATGTGGTAGAAATTGAGCTTATGGTCCCACAAGTTGCACACCAAATATATTATGCACATATACACATGCATATGCATACTCACCAGGCTTCCTAGGAAACCCTAAAAAATACTCACCCAAATCAGAATCAAAACCTCTTCACATACCCTAATCCCTATGAACCAGTGCATAACCCCAGCTTCAATTTTGTGCTCCACTGTCTCTTCCATTTGGTTCTCCATTACCATTGGTATATACTCTCACCGGTCTTCAGAGAACTTCCAATCCAAACATGTCTCCGAAACATCACACTTCTTGCCTTGTAGCGCGGAAATATAGTCCCCCTTAAGTAGATAGAATATGGTTTTGGGTATATTAAAATAAGATCCCCATATACCGCACATTCTATCTACTTAAGGGGGACTATAACCCCAATATATATATATATATCCTATTATAATACAGTAGTTTCCCTTTTCTTTGCCATTATCCCTATATAACCCCAGTAATATACCCCATTATGGGGGACTATATGCTGTCCTACCTCTCCAAAGCTCGTACGGCTTCAGGGCACAGGGTTTAGGGTCTTTCAGGGTTTTAAAGTTGCAGGGCTTTAGGGTTTAGGGTTTCGGGCTTCGTTTTTGGAGTTTGGGAACCACATCCTACGATTCCTTCCCCTTTTTCGCATCTTGTCACCTCATCACATAAGCTTCAAAACATAAGGTCTGATAGAATGTAAACATAAGGGCTTCGTTTTAGGGTTTAGGGTTTCGGGCACTAAGGGTTTAGGGTTTAGGGCTCAGGGTTTTGCAGGCCTGCGAAATCCAAAGACCAAAGCTCTAGACTCGAAATCCTAGACCCTAAGGGCAGATACCCTAAATCTGAAATCTAAACTCTTACGTCCTAAACCCTACACCCTAGATCCTAAACCCTGGATCCTAAGCCCTAAACGTGACACCTATACTACAGCAATCTGAGGATTTAGGGCTTATGGGCCTGCATAATGTAGGGTTGGGGTTTAGGGTTGCCTAAATTAGATTGGAGAATCAAATGGCAACAAGCGGAAAACGAAATGGGAGCTAGCATTATGTGGCGGGGAGCCAAATACACAAGAAAATGGAAAACGAAATGGGAGCTGGCAACCTAAAGAGGTATATAAGTAAGCGGAGTCGGTGTAGGTGCCTCAAAAAACAGACAAGAACATGAGCGAATCATTTACTATCGTGATATAGAAATGACACAAGGATACCATTGCTCTCCCACGCTGCGCCTGGCATATGCGCAAGGGTGTTCATGAAGGAGCTGCCACACTTTGGGAAATGGACCCAATATAGCCTGGCTCATCTGCGCACCCTAAGCTCTGAACCCAAAAAGCTGAACCCCACACCCCAAACCCAAAAACCCCAAGAACCACCTTTTTTAGCCCAAATTTCTTTGAATGGCGCCAGTGAAGGGGAAAACCAGCAGAGGGGTTTTAGGGTTTAGGATTTAATCCAGACCCCTGATTAATAAACCCCCTTGCCTTAATAGGGATTATAATAGGGATCCTAATATTTGGGCCCTTAAAAGAAAGGGGTTTATTAATCATGGGTCTACATTACGGGGTTTGGGGCTTTAGGGCTAGAGCCGGTTTTTCTTGGACAACATAGGGCGGCCTAAATCGACTTTGAAGGGTATTCTGTTTGAGTATACCATGGTCTCCAAACTACACATATATATATATATGTTTATATGTATATATATGTTTATGCTCCTCTTGGGTATGGTATGTTTACGAAGGATATTATCTTACATTCTTCGACCACAAAAACTCCCAGACGGGCGTAGTTTCAGTTTCTGAAATGAATTTGAAGTGGAAGGGTTCGCAAGGATCGCAATGTTGTGGGTATATGAAAAACCCATGCTCTACTTTGCTGAAACGTGAGCACTCGAGCTGACTCAAGACCCGTCCTTCACGTGGCGAAGTTTGGCCCGAAACCCCGTTTTGCAGAGGGCCGTGTTCCCCATGTTGATAAGAGAAAACTTGACCTGAAGGACCCCCAAACCTTTCTGGGGGCAGTACGGGAGGGTAGTAGGGGAACCATGGAACCTAAATAAACCTTCGCTAAACAGCCCAAACCCTAAGTAGTAGGGGGCTGGGGCTGCGGACCCATGATTTAACAAGAATTTCGAGGCGGTCCTGGCACCTGAAAAACTAGTTGACTGTTTATAGGGCCGCGGCCCCTTGTGAGGGATAGCCCACAGTAAGGATTCTCATGTCTTGGTGTCCATCTTGGGGCTGGAAAAAAAAAACATGAAGCCTAAGGCCAAATAGTTTCAAGACTGGAAATCCTAATCCCTACGAATCCTTACATAGATCCAGGTTCGCTGTCATGTTTGTCATTTTTTCCGTTTGATTCTGCATTATCCCTGAACCCTGAACCCCAGACTCTCAAACCTAAACCCTGAATCCTGGACCCCTAAACTCCAACCCCTAGACTCTCAAGCCTCAACCCGAACCTAATGACTAAGTCACCCCTACCTCTGAGCTCTAAAAGCTTAACCATTTTCAATACACCTTTATGGGGAGTGGCGGTTCAGCAGCCCGCAGAAGTTGCGTCTCCGGCGCGTCGGGCGCTGCGAGAACCTGGGTTTCCCAGGGTTTTACGAGTTTAGGGTTTGGGGGTGGGATATCTAAGGATATAGAGGGATGGGATTGAGATGGGTTTAGGGTTTAGGAGGTTGAGGGTTTAGGGATTAAGGACTTGGGGGCGGGACATCCAGGCATCTGTCTTGGGGCCTGGGGTTTAGGGCTGGTTTTGAGTTTGGGTTTGGGGTTGAGGCAGGATTTGGGGTCTAATGCTCTAGGGGCTTGAAGGCTACTGGACCTAGGGGTGCAGGGTTTGGGCTCTGGGGATTACGGTTTAGGGCTTGCAAGAGTTCTGGACATGCTGAGTTGGAACTGAAGAATTGCACATGTGGAACGTGCTTCTGTGGCTGTGCTGGTGGAAGCGGGGGTGCTAGCCGAGACCGTACAACATAATTTACGGCCATTGCTACTACCAGCAATCTGTATTATGAAATACTGTTCTTACTACCGTTTTCACTACCAATCTTACCACACAGATCACCATTGTTAATGTGCTACCACCGAAAGCCATGCTCCACTTCCAGCCCTTGGGGAAGGAAAACCAATCTCCTCACGGTTCTGTTCCTATGGCATTTGGCGACCGGCACCAGCAGCAGCAGCCTTTACAGTTCTTGGCGCATTAGCCAGTGTATACTAGACTATACTATACAATTCTTGTACTTTGCGCGGCGTCAATGCCGGGTCTAAATTAGCGCCATAAAGCGAAACCCTTCTTAGCAAACTGAAGCATTCTGAATGTAGGAGCCATCTGAGACACAGTTAACGTGTTCTATGAAAGGACCAAAAAGCAAAAAAATGAGAATGAAAGCTCTGCATACTTGCCCTCTCCGACCCAAACAAACCCTCAATAGTACTCGTCAAACTGGGACCCTGGGATTTAGGATTTGGGGTTGTGGAGTCCCCAGATTCAAGCGCTACAAGTGCGCTCTCTCAAGTTAATATGGTACTCAGTGGAAACATTAATGACATTGGCCATCTTCCCTGTAATTACACGAGCAGGCCCCTCCAGAGGCAGGAAGGCATTGCTTTTTGTAACTAAAATTGCAGATGATATTTTTAAAAAAGGAATAGCCCAAATAGATGAAGATCGTGAAGGAATTCCGGGGCTCCCCTCCTCATGAAGCTTCTACTTGCTTGGCCTTTAGAGCCCTCTGCACTGGAGTGGAAGAGGTATCGTAGTGGAAATCTTTTGAGAATCCCAGTCCCATCTCCATGGAGCGCTGAGGAATCCCATCATCATTCCTTCGTGCGTAATCTTGTTTCGGGAGTTCCGATTCACCACTTTACCCCAACCCTAGACCTCTAAATCCTAGACCCTAAACTCTAAACCCAGAAAGTGTGACCCCTGAACCATCGACCAAGACAGGAACAAGGCGAGGAGCTATCTTTTGCTGCAGCAAGTTGACAGACTCAAAGCAGCAGGCAGGTCTGACAAAGACCTGGAAGGAGTCTTATGCTGCCCACAACTTTCAGCAGCAAGAAGCAGCAGTGTCAAACTTGATATTACTCCAACCTTAGTGCTTTGAAAACAGATTCAGAACAAGATTCTATAGACATTTGTCTGATTTCATTTGCTTGAGTTGTAGTCGTGCCTGAAAAGTGCCTTCACCTTTTCATGTGCGAAATCTTCTGACTGGAGTCGCAAGTCAGACATACTCAACATATCATATCCATCGGGCTCTGCCCAGGCCCTATTACTTGTTGCGGGCATTAAGGGTATCATAATGTTCTTTAGATACAACATTGGGAGCAAGTTATAAAGTGGGGGTTTATGGTTTAGGGCTTAGGGTTTACGGTTTAAGGTGCAATCAAAGTGAAAGGCCCTGTCGTAGGTCTCTACCTGCCCTGGAAACCTTCCTGGAACTGAAGTAGAAATTTGACTTTCGGCTCCTTTCTAGGGTTCTAGGTTGTTGTACTTGAGTCAACATCTAAAGCCGAGGAAAGACTCCAAATGTCCAATGGTGCTAAGCTGGATATCCCAAACCCTAAGCCCTAAATCCTGAACCCTGAATCCTATACCCTAAACCCCTTAAACCCTAAACCCTAAGAACCCTGAACCCTAAACCTCCCAAACTCTGAACCCTAAACTCAAGTAGAATCCTGGGACCCCTAAAAGCCCCTAGAGCACATGGCCAACAACGAATTAAGGGTTTAGGGGTAGGCCTTATAAGAAATTATTAGGGACTACCTGGAGGGTCGGGGAGACTTAGTAAGTAGGGACAATAATGGGGGTAACTAGGGTTACTATATGGTTTAAGTGGGTCACTAACCTCCTTACCAAGCCCCCCTGACCCCTCAAGACCCCAAACCCTAAACCCAGTACCCTAAACCCTAAACCGTATTCCCTAAACCCTACGATAGCTCATATACTGCTTATTCAAGCTTATTACGGAGGGCCGGGTGAGGGACCATGGAGGTCCTAGCATAGCAGCTTCTCAAAGTCATAGTCGCTGGCTACCCCTATTGGATTTAAGGTTTAGGGTTTCGGGTTCTGGGTTTAGAGTTCCGGGTTTCGTGGTTTAGGGCCGGGGTTTAGGGTTTATTTGTTTAGGGGCTTTAGGGTTGGGACCAACCGCACAATCTTGAGAAACTCCCATCATGCTAGGCAACGCCCACCCTGACTAAAGCAGAACCCTAGACCCCGACTCCCACACTGGTTCCTCGTCGGCATACCCATGCGAGAAAAGAAAAAAAAAACGTTACATTCCTTATTGGGCTTTAGAACAATAATCGGGAACACATGTTTAGCTCCAGCTGCGGCCAGGAAGAGTGATGAAGCCAGAAGGGTAGACATGGGTTTGACACCTTTCTAAAGAGCGAGAGATCGGACGGTTCGGTATCTGGCTTGAGCCACACGGTTTAGGGTTGACGGTTAAGTTGAGCATTTAAGGGCTTCGGGTCTCCAGTACAACCCCCCAAAAAGCAAACAAATCCGCATAGGCAAAGTTTTCAAGGAAAGTAATCTTTGCAGGGGCCTTTTTGGAAGAGGCCTGGACTTGGACTGCGGGTCGGAGCGTGTTTTGGCTCCTTGTGTAAGTCTGGGGCGACATGAAATGCACTGCCTGGCTGAGTTCAAGATGCATCAAGTCTGCCCGACACCATGACGGAGGGAACCTACATCTTAAGCTTCACGGTCTAGGGTTTAGGGCCTTTAACTCAACCCTAAACCACAAAAGTTCGAATCCGCGCGAGTAGCAATACTGGTAGAAGTGGCAGCATCTGGTAACTTCTTTGAGCATGTCCAAACACGGGGGTGCCCCTTGTTATATAGGGGATCATATAACCTTTAGGGTTTAGGGTCTAAGCTCCTCAAAGGGGATTATATAGGAGAGTATTATAGGGGTCATGAAGGGGGATACTAGGAGTTTAGACTATGGCTCATATGGGCATGGAACCCAAAACCCTAAACCCTAAACTAGGGTAGGTTTGCGGGCGCCGTAAAAATTCCTGTTCAATGACGTTAGAAGGATTATCTAAGTGTCGAGGGTAATCAAGATTAAACAGAACTTTCAAGCCTACCACTGCAAACCCTACAGTGTGCGGCACCTTTTGACTGCGTCAACGCTGTCTGCGTATGTGCATGAGGCGCTTGGGTGTACGCCCTGCGCCTGTCACACACATGTTCTTAACTCGTTCAACAAGGCATGAAGAAACAGCCCGTTTGTGATCCTCAATCTTGGCTTTTATTTTCCTTTCCATTTCTTCATTCCCTACCAGCCATAGGTCAATCTGTTCAAGCAGGGAAACAGTGTCTCTGGATCCTGCGCGATCTCCACTCAAGCAAAATCTCCTATTCCAGCATTGCGGTAGCACTCCTGGCACGTGTCATGAGAAACATTGTACAGAACAAGATTTTTGTGAAACACCTCCAGCGCGGCTTCATATACAATCTCATCAATATCGTCATGCCAGCCCATTAGCGCGGACGTGTTGTACTCGCTGTGCGCGGACTTCCCTGGAGAAGACGGGCGCGTATCCTCAAAGTCTGAACCCAAGCATGGGCCCCCAAACATTCTGTGGAACAAGCAAATGGACAAGTCCCATTCCTCTGTGATGCCCACGAAGGCGAAGCCCTCCCGAACTCTTCGGGCTGCCTCTAAGCCATCCGCGGGCGTCACTTTGGTGCGGTTTGGGGTAGTTGTGGGAATTCCGTGGTCATCCTCTGTCACCAGCTGATATGTCATGCCTCCTTTCCACGCCTCTGCAAATTCCAGCACAGGTACCTTTGGCAATCCGACAATAAGATATCTGAGATCTTCGTTGCAATAGCCAGTGGCAATCACCAAGTCAGCGAGACCTGCAGGGTTCTCCGAGTGAGGGGCTTCTAAGAATGCTAGTGGTATGTAAAAACGATCAGTAGATTGCAAGGACCTTCCTCTATTGACATTACACACGGGCTATGTTGAGATATGCCCACCTATCATCCACGGGGCAGTCAGGTGGAACATCAGCGATGCGAACGGCTCAGTCTCGTCATAGTAAGCCGACAGTATCCGTTGATCAGGATCTCGGAAGAATCCTGAGTTGTGATTTAAGGTTTTGGGCGTAATGTCGGAAACCTCCTTGGAAACGGCCGCGATATCATGGACTCAAGTTCCAGCCTTCCTACACTGTCCTACACTCTCTGAGCCCAACCTGAGCCAAGAAACCCACCATGTGACCTCGCCGCTCTGAGTAATCGAGAATCGGGCGATGCGGAATTTTGTCGCAGGCAAGCCTGAGCTGTCTCTGAAATGGTAGTCAGAAGGAGAGCTTGATACTTAATCTTCTTGAACAACCATCGCAGGCATAGCATTAGCGATAATCACAGACGTCATCATCACCACCACCATCATCACCATTACCATCACCATCAACATGATCATCATCATCATCATCAT